CGAATGCTCATGTGCTTCTCTCTCTTCAAAATAAATAAATAAATAAAATCTTTTAAAAATATCTTGTGTTCATAGAGGTTTGACACTATGCATTTTGAAAATGCTGGAGAAAGGAGGAAGTTGTTACCTATGAATCCATTGTTATCCGTGCCCATTCTTTTTTGCCCTGATGTAAAAGGCTTACAGTCAACACTCGGGTCTTACTCTTCGGACAAATATTTGTCCATTTCCAAGCAAGTAGCTATTTTTGAGACTGCCATGCAATAAGAGCATGTATAAAAAGCATTCCTTAGATGATATCAGTGCACATTAGAAGCAAATGTGAACTCATTGTAAACTAGGAGACTGTACATATCCCATTCCTGTACAGTCATACACCCTTCAGGACCAATCGTGTAAACACCCAACTTTGTGCCATAAACAACACTATTTAAAACTCAACACACTCAATAAAAGGGAACAAATCCCGAAAGGTCAACACATTGCTTCCTGGAAAAATAAGATTGCTTTAGATCTCTGCTCCGTGCCTCCAGGTTATCTTATTATGACCAAATCCAAAACAGCCCACAGGCAGGCAGTTACCAAATATAGAGTTAGTAGTTAGAAACCAGAAACAGGAACTGGAAGAAACAAGCCCCCTGGAAGTCCAAGGGGACTGCTTTGTGACTGTTACACAAGAAGACATTTCCTGCTTTCTGAATTAGGAAAGCAAAGAAAGCCAAGAGAATGATTTCAATGACTTGAAAGCACCTACCAAAAAATCCTTGGGGACTTAACCCAATCCCCAGGTGCAGTCTGGCCAGCAGGGTCAACCTGGAGAGGAGTTTGGGACACCTGAGCTTGTTGGTCAGAGTCAACCCCCACCTTGATTTTGGTACACACTAAGGTAAATTCTGCTTCTCTGAGTTAGAGCCCTCAGTGTCAACTCCACAGCAAAGGGCCTGCAGGTGAAAAGACTCACAGGTGGTTCACTGGAAGGTAGAGGTGATAAAAATGATGGATTCCAGAACGATTCCAGACGAGTTCATTTTGATAACGTGCCCTGAATTCCGGCTTCTGTCTCCTTCCCCCACCCTCAGTCCCATCCTAGCTGGATTTCTAGATCTTTGTCTTTTGTCAAATTTGAATTTAGAGATGGAGACTCAGAAATTCTTACTTAGATTAGCCTATTGTTTTAGGTGAAACTCAGAATTCTGATGAAAGAGCAGATGGCCCTAATGGGTAGACTGAAAATGAAGCCCTCATCTAAGATCTGTTTTATAAAGTTTCTGTGTACCTCATGTCACCATTCTACTTTGGGTCTTTGAGGAATGTAAAACAAATCATTTGATGGCGAAAATAATTTTGAAGAGCAACCTTTCCCATCTCTGTAGGATGGTGGTGGATGCTGTAAGGGAAACACTATTTCAAAGTCCCTGTTGCATCTAAGTAACTAAAATATGCCTTAGTTAGGACTTCCTTGTTATGGTGGTTTATTCAAACTGATACTTTTGATCTTCCCTAGAACTTTACTCTTGTCATCTATCACCTTGACAATTTAATGTGCAGTGAATTCCTGGCCACGAATATAATATATGAGTGCCTTTCACCTCATTTTCTTGGGTTTAACCTGGGCATAAATCTAAATGCTTTTCTTAGATCATCTAGTGCCATCCAATGCCAGTTAGTGAATGAGGAACATTTCTTTTTATCTCACTATTATGGATTGTTATGATGATGTTACCTATTGATTATTTAATAATGCATCTTTTCCCTCAAATAACACAGCACTGATAGACTTTAGGGGTGTGTGTATGTGTGTGTGCGTGTGTGTGTGTTTTCCTATAAGAAGCAAATGAGATTTACCATATACTTAGTCTCTGTTGTTGATCCTGGGTTATAAGTCACCAAGACCTGTGTTTAAAGGTCTCTGTGAGTAGGTTTGCTCTGATATAGAGGGCATAATCTTGTGCTTCTTATCAGGGCCCTGCACTTGGAGACCCTCTCCAGTCCTCTAATCCTATCAGCCGAACAGACTCACTAGTCCTCCTCTGCTCACTTGCTTCCTCTTGAAATCCCCTCCTTCCCATTTCACTGAGGATACTGACAACATATGGGTCCTCTCATCCACACAGGGGCCCTGAGATAAAGATTCGGCTAATACTGGGACTACATTTTAATTGTAAGGCTAGTAAGTTTCTAGGTTATATCTGTAGTCTTCTGTTTAATATAAAGAGTGCTGTTCTTTCTTCCTCTACAGTTCTGTTTTCCTTTATAAACTCCTACATTTTTGTTATGTTTATTTTATAATTTCTATTGTTTTGGAATCTAGCCTTTGTATAGTTAAAAAAATTAACCCAGTAGTGTTTTGTGCTCACTTTTTAAAATATGTAATAAAACATTCCCAACTAGAAGATACATACCAACTAGAAGATTTCACAAAAAAATAAGATACCATTCAAAATAACAACTATCACATATATAGGAATTAAGCTAACCAAGAATACACAGGAACTTCACAGAAAGCTTTAAAATGTCTAGTAAATGACATATAAGACAATTTGAAATAATGGAGAGATATTATATGTCCTTAGATAGCATAGAATTGATACTGCAAAGAGATCCAGTCCCCACAAATTATTTTATGAATTAAAAGCAATATTAATAAAATTCCAATTTGATTTTTTTAGAAACTTGATAAACTTATACCAAAATTTATATGACAAGTGTTCACTTATGGCAGTGATGGGGGATAGAATGGCATAAAGGAATAAAAGGAAAGAAAGAAAGAGACAGAGGGGGAGGAGGAAGAGAGAGAGGGAGGGAGGAAGGAAGAGGCATGGCAGGAATGATAATTACTATGCACTGAGGAATATGGATAATTCAACCCTCTGCCCTTGAGGTTCCCCTCTTCCTAACACACACACACACACACACACACACACACCACCCCAACTATATGAACTAATTTATTTAAATATTCTTTGTAGAATATGAGTCAGGTGCTCCATTTAAATCTCATCCTTTTTTTCAGTTGTAAACTTCTAAGTTTCTGTGCAAATATTTCTATTGTATTTCACAAGCTGGAAATGTCTCTCTTTTTTTTTTTTTTTCCAAGCTGGGAATTTCTTAACTCCAAATTCCACAAGTAGAAGAATCATTAGCTGTAAGATTCATCATCCTTTTGTTTCAAAAGCAAAAATCTAGCTGGAAGAATTACCTCTAAGTGATATAAACTCCATAAGGCCATGCCTCATGTCAGGTTTATCCTCTATCCCCAGGACAAAGAATAGTAGCAGGCTGGTGTAAGCACTCACTGGAATTCGTTCTATGGAATGAAGGGGTGAGTGAGCAAGGAAGAGTAGATGAGATAGTTTTTGCCAAGTGCTAAGGTACAGTGAGCATCTAACAGCTGTGGAAAGGGGCTGAGACCTTTAAATCACAGAGATAGTATATCCATTTGTGGGTTTCTCACACTATAACTTAAGAGACTGTGACCAGTACAAGAGAGAAACCCACACCCCCTGTCTGAGGCCTGGTAGAAGGTATGCTTAGCCTAAAGTTGAGAAGATTGATGGAACATGAGAATAGACAGCAGATACTTGAAGAGGTGCCATGTGGAAAATTGAAATGACTTAAAATTATTCCATGTGTCCTAGAACAGCAAATAGAACCAATAACAGAAGTTTTTAGGAGGGGAGATTTTGGCTCAGTACAAACCCAGACCTTCAAAAAGTCAACAACTTTCTGAAAATGTCATGTGAAGTAGTGAGTTTTCTCTTCTTGGAGATGCCCTTCCAAAAAGTGAATGGCCCAAGAATCCATGTGTCATGCAAACAGTGTTCCTTTGTTCTCTCTATATAATAAATAGTGCTAAGCAGTGAGGTCAGGCAGTGATAAAAATGACAAGTCCCTGGTAAAAAAAAATAAATAAACAATTTAAAATACACCAGATATAAGTGCATTGTGAAAAGTAAAGCCGGGCGCCTGGGTGGCTCAGTCGTTAAGCGTCTGCCTTCGGCTCAGGTCATGATCCCAGGGTGCTGGAATCGAGCCCCACATCAGGCTCCCTGCTCAGCGGGAAGCCTGCTTCTCCCTCTCCCACTCCCCCTCTTGTGTTCCTGCTCTCGCTGTCTCTCTCTCTGTCAAATAAATAAATAAAATCTTTAAAAAAAAAAGAAAAGTAAAGCCATATAAGGAAAGAGAGTGACAAGTATCCTACTCTACATAGAGTGATCAAGGAAGTCCTCTCTGACAAGGTGACATTTGAGCAGAATTAAAGGAACTGAGAGAGGAGGGATGTGGGTATCTAGAGGAAGAGAATGCCAGCAAAGGAAACAGAAGAGGCCAGTGTACCAGGTCCAGAGGGAGCACAGGGAGGGTGGCCCCCTGAAATTTTTCTTGTTTGCATCCTCTTCATCAGGTTTGACATCAGTATTAACCTAAACTGACCTAAACTTACTAGTGCCTGAGAGCACTGCGCTCCAACAAATATCAGAGGTCTTAGATACAAGCTTTCAGATTTAAGTCTGACTCGTGAGATTTAGGACAAAGAATTTAATCCTACAGCGTTTGGGACCTAGGACCTTATGAACTGCTAAAGCAATTAGCATGACCCTTCGTTGACACTTTAGCCAGAGTGTGTGGTGGAAAATGTCAAGAGCGTATCTCATTGTCCCTACAAGACTTGAAGTTACTAAAAGGCAGGATGCATGTCTGATTCATCTTTGTGCTCACCTGCGTGTCTTAGACTTGACACACACTCAAGAAATGTGTTGAGTGGATGCATTAATATGCTTCAGGGACTGTCTTAATAAAAACAATTATATGAACATGCTGCTTAAAACTGAATCATAAACTGCCAGAGAAAAGCTTTGTGTGGGGTAATTAATGAAGAGGTAATAAAAATCAGATCTTCCCCCAAAAGTAGAAAAAGCAGCCAGTAACAAGTGATCTTCCTTTAGTATATCAGAGATTAAACGCAGCCTTCTAGAACTGGGTAAACCAAGCGGGGGGGGGGGGGGGGGGGGCATCATTCTTAGAATAATTGAATAATTAGCATAAGCCCAGTGACAAAGAAGTGAGATAGGCCCTATGTTTGAGCAACAGATTTGGGGGAAAAAAGCCCTTTGAGGCTGTATTGCAATAATGTGCTAGAGAGAGATCAACTCATCCTGACTTGTATATGGTTATATGCCCTCATGTGCTAGAAAACTACAGGCAAAATGTGTGTAGAAAAAAATATCATGCTCTTATAGCAAAGAAACTTCCAGATATTGAGGTGCCTCAGCAGAACAAGTTATAGAGTCAGTTCGGTGAGACCCGTGAAATATATTTTACAGAACTGAGAATTTGTTATGTTTTGACCATATATGGTTGTTTTACAATAAAATTGTAGTTGACTGCCATGGTGAAAACCAGTTTTTTCTTATCCAGACAGTTGCCCGTTTATTCAGATGATGTGCAGAGAAGTATACTGCCAGCATCCCAAAGTAAACTACATTATGGGCAGTGATTAAGTTCTATAACAGTATTAATACTTGACCTTGTAGCCAGGGATGGGATTTTATGAGCTTCTCTAAGAGTCTAAAAACCTCCATGTTGTTTTGTGGGAAAATGGTTCCTTCATTCTAAACAACCAGTTTTCAAATGGACTTTTGAGGGCTTTTTTAATGTTCATTGACTCTTTAGTATACTTTAGGCTTTCAAGGATTTTTAAAAATTAGCTTAAAATTTAGGGGTTCTTGAGTAATGGTGATAATTTCATGATACTGGTTTATTCTATTCTCTGAAGTTTGTAGTCCTGTACTAATAAAATTTCTTTTAAAAATAAAAATAGCAGAATTTCAGAATTGCCAGAGAATTTAGAGGTGATTTACTATAGGTTCCCATCCAATATAGAAATCTCTTCTATAACATCCTTAACAGATTAATATCTAGTTTTTATTTAAGTATATGTGGTGATCGGGAGAAGTATTCTGTTCAACGAAATTTTTGCCAGGAAACTACAAATATATCAGTATGTATTTATTGGATGGTGACTAGGTGCCCAGGACTGTGTTCAGTATTATGGGGAAAACAAAATAATTAAGGCTCCATCTCTGCCCCAAAGGAGCTTAAGGAATAGTTGGAGAGGCAAAATAACATATTCATTCATTCATTATACCATTTTATTTTATATGCTATGTGACATGCTAAGTTCTGACAACACAAAACTTGGTCTTGGCTCTGAAGACGTTTACACTGTTGCAAAGATAAACATTCATATACATCCATCTAAAATGCAAGATAATTGTTGCAGTGTGTGCGCACATGCACATTCCTGGTCATATTTCAATGACCATTGTTTGCAATGACTACAAAGGAGGAGGAACAGTTTTAAGTCCACCTGGGGAAATCAAGTTTGTCAGTATTCTATATAGGATGATTTAAATTATATTCCTGGGAGAAGAAAGTGTTATGGTGTGTTACAAAGAATAAGATTTGTGAGACAAAGTAAAAGTTAATATATGTTCACTTGGAAGATTCTAGCAAATGAGGACTCAGGTTTTTTTGATGTAACAGCATTTCTTCTTCCTAAAGAATAGAGGAATAAAGTATTTTAAATATGCATAGTGACTTTTCATCATATAATAGCAAGTTCTAAACATTAGCTTTCCTAAGAAGTAAACTATGCTAACTGGCAATATTAGCGTCAGCTATTTTAAAATTGAGCTGATGTCTCAAAGCATATTAGTCCTTAAGAGCTGGTGAGATTCTTTGCACTAATACCTAAAGCTAAGGCTCTGTAGCTTTAAGTTCAAATATGTTAGCTTATGTTTTGGGATGCTGATGTTAACTTTTAAAATGTAGGTGCTATGGTGATATATGGAATTGTTGAATCACTATATTGTACACCTGAAATTAATACAACACTGTATGCTAACTGGAATTAAAATAAAAACTTAATTTAAGGGGCACCTGGGTGTCTAGTTGGGTGAGCAACGGCTCTTGGTTTCAGCTCAGGTCATGATCTCAGGGTCATGGGATCAAGCCCTGCATTGGCCTCCACACTCAGCGTGGAGTTGGCTCGGGATTCTTTCTCTCCCTCGGCATGTGCTCTCTCAAATAAATAAGTCTTCAAAAAATAAAATAAAATAAAAACTTAATTTAAAAAAAGAAGAAGAAAATAAAATGTAGGTGCTAGATATTGGACTCAGAAATACTTAATGCATGATGAGAAAATGTAGAGATATCTCCTTCTGGATCACTTTTGTGTATGACTGTATTGGTTAGTCACTTGATTTTATATTTTTAGAAATTCCACACCATCAACCACAAGTCTTTTGTCTAATAAACAGGCCATCAATTACATCATCATTTTACCTTGTAAGAAACCTCATGTGCTCACTGGAAATGCAAAACCTGGGTTGAGTTTTATAATTTCAGCTACATCAAGTAAGTTTAAAGAGAAAAGTTAAGTCTTTCCCCCAGAATGCAAACAGAAAACATGAACTCCCCCATAGACAGGTTTTTAGGTAAAACACATGGCTTTTCTGAGCCTCAGTTTTATTAAATGAGCAGGATAGGCATCATTTCCATTTCACAATTTATTGTGAAAAATTGGTGGTAAAATAGAAATGTATTATTTTTAGTCTCTTTTACTATAGACTTCAAATGCCTACATCTGGTGCATTTCCTTATAGCCTAAGTGTGATTAGTTGGGTTCTCTGGTAAACAGATTGAGAAAGGTCTAAGATAAAGGGCCAAATGCTCAATTCTTCCCTCTCCCAGAGGACTGTACAGGAGCTTAGTAGACAGGGGACAAGACCAGTCAAAAGAACATTTGATGAAAGTTCAGCTCTGGCCCCAAAGTCACTATATCCATCTCCTGGTGAGCTAAGCCAGACCTCAGATAAGTCACAAGGCCTTCCTTTCCCTAAGCACCGAAAGCTATGTGATCTGGATGAAGAGGGGCTGGGAGGCAGCTCAAGAAGCTTCCTTATCCTCTTTCCCTGCACTTTAAGCTCTGCCTGCCCAGAGGGAGAAAGGGGACACTCGGGCAAGGAAGAGACGGAGGGGGAAGGGAGAGTTGGGAGAGGGGAAGCGGGGAGAAGGAGATTGCTGATTCACCCTAAAGCCAAGGGGAGAGCTTGTCTGAGCTATCCTCCCCAGGCCTTCCTCAGGTATAGCCCACTTCCAAGAGAGAGGCAGCTCCAGACCTATCATATCTCACCAGCTTCAAGGAAGAAGAGAGAGACTCAAAGTGGTGACTCCCAAGGGAAGCCCTAAAGAGAGAGTCCAGACGAATGGAACTTGAGAGCTCCCGCCACTTGAACTCTTTTGAGCACCAAGGTTCACTACTTTTCCTTTAATGCTACTATCTCTACTAGCCCCATTTCTCCTAGAAAGAAGGAAGGAGGAACAAAGAAGAGTCTTGCATTCTGCCCGGAGGTCAACCATCTAGATAAGTCAGAAAAAGATCCATAACTGAAATTCACTCTACGTGGTAAAAGATCTGTTTGCCTGGAATGTGTGGAAACTTTCTTATCCAAATTAATGATATTTCTGGAGTCCAGAGAGGTTAGCTTCCAAAGAGCATGATGATTTCCTACCATCTCCAACACACCTAAATGACTAAGAATTGCCATGACTCTTGCCTTACCTGCAAGCCTTCTGTGATGTCCTAACAAGGTATTGGTATTCTCTCATAAACGATACCATCTGTTCCTTCACAGAAGATTGACCACAGCCTTGACATCATTCACTTGCTGAGTACTGTAGCAATTTATTCTTCGATTACTAGAGTAAGTTTCGAAAATAAATGACCATTTTTAAGAAAACCTTTCAGTACAGCTTTTTGTTTATATGCTTCCGTTGTTTAAAATTATGCATATTTGTGCTAGTTGTACAGCACTGTTGTCCAGATAGCCCAGAGGATTCATGTTTTCTCTTTGGGCTCCTCCAATTTCTTTCATCTTCCTCCTGTTCACAGATTTATCAGTGAACTGCAGGGTGTCCAGGGATAAGTCAGTTGAGTACAGAACTAGGATTTCAGTTCCTGGGGATTGCTTCAAATAGAGCTTTCCCTTCATTATTCCAAGAGCATAATTATAAGTATTTCAAATTCCTCAGGCAACTGAAACAAACTCTCTCTATTAGGAATCATTAACTGTAGGTTCCTGATGTTTATCCATAGTTTTTTATATCCACTAAATTTTCTCATGCGGTTTTGACTTTGAAATGCTTTCCACTTAAATCCTAAATTGCCATGAACCAAGTCATTCACTAGTCCACTTGGCTTATGGGAAAATGCCATGAAGCAAAAACAGTTTTGAATTCGATCCACTCCCTCTTTTTTAATTTTTTTTTTTCCTAATTCCTTTTGCATCCCAGAGCAGCCGACCTCAAAAGGAGAAGAAAACACAATGTGGATACCACTAAGATACAGGAAATGAGAGCGTCCTTGATGGCTGGAAAGTCCCAGACTAAACAAAGGTTAAAAAAAAATTAACATTTGGGGTGCCTGGGTGGCTCAGTCAGTTAAGCGACTGACCAGCTATGGATTTTGGCTCAGGTCATGATCTCAGGGTCGTGAGAGCAATCCCTGCATTGGCGCTCCACGCTGGGCATGGAGTCTGCTTAGGATTTTCTCTCTCTCCTTCTCCCCCTCCTCCACTGCACTCACAAAATCGCACACACTCACGCTCTCTCTAAAAATAATTAATTAAAATAAAATAACATTTATAGTATGTATAGTTTTCCTTACCCTCAAAAAGTCAGTGTGTCTGTATTTACCGTGGTAGGAGAATCACCTTTATTAAGGGAAGTATCAAATGTAGACAAGATCCTAAGGCAGATGTGATGGTTTCTTTTTTACTGAGGAATAAATGGATAGTGCCTCCCAAATCTGGCCCCCTCTTCATGTATCTTAAATGAGTAAGCACTTAGCTCCGGCTTTAGGAATCATTAGGCAGACATCATTTGGCAATTTGGAAGATGTGTGAAATGAAATGTTTCATCTCAGAGGAAGGTAGCTAGAAGCCAAATATTTCCAGATGTTCACTAGCATCCAATTTTATAAGTGTGCGTGCTTGCTGTTGTTGTGGTTTGTTTCCCTTTGGTGGGAAAATGTGTTTGTTTATTCACCTCATATTTATTGCATACCTAATTTGTGCCAGGCTGTGTTAGTAAGGATGGAGCCCCCTTTAAAGAGCTTCCTGGTCTAGGAAGTAAAATGATGAGCAATTACGCCATGTTTCCTTAGGTGCTATGATAGGGGGCAAACCAGGGCTTAAAAGACTGTTCTTTTATTTTTAAGATTTTATTTATTTATTTGACAGAGAGAGTGCCCAAGCACACTAGCAGTGGGAGGGACAGAGGGAGAAGGAGAAGCAGACTCCCCACCGAGCAAGGAGCTCAATCCCAGGACCCTGGGATAATGACCTGAGCCAAAGGCAGATGCTCAACCAATTAACCAACTGAGCCACCCAGGCGCCCTGTTCCAGTTCTGTTTAACTGGAATAAGGATTCTGTAAATAATGACTCAGGAAACTATGCCTTAACTTTTTCAGTGTTTAATTCTACTCCCAGACTAATGGCAATCAGTTCCCTCAAGCACAGAAATTTCTGATAATGCTGAACTTGAGCAGATGTGCTTGACGTCTGGGTTTTAGTCACGTACAGATGAACCCTATTCCAAGTGTACTATTGCTATACCTTACCACCAAGAGAATTCATAAATTCAAAAATTCAAATTTTAATCAGTTCCTCCCTCCAATCCCTTGAATTTTGCTTCAAGGACATCGACTCGTGCGTCAGAGGTGCCAGGGTCTGACTTTTTTTTCCTTCTCCTTTCCCCATTGCTATTGGGGAAATGAGCAACCAATAAAAACAGACATTTTACTCAGCCCTTGTGTTTGTTAATAAACACCTTAAAATTGGGCAGTTTGCTTAAGACTGGTGTTTTTTCTCTCTTTCTTGTTACTATCTGGCTATACGTACACTTCCTCCATACACAATGTGTTATTACCTGTCCATCATATAAGTTTTCGACACCACCCTTAAAGGGAAGGCAGACGTCATGCCCATGGCACACACGGAACCCCACACCCTTGCACATACGCGTTCCCATTTCCCCTGGAGAAAGGCGCTGGCTTGTGCTGGTGAGAGGGATGCCATGTGCAGTGCTTGGGGATGTCTGTTTGTGCTCCCGTGGTCACTGCCCCCAAACATACACACACTGGCCTCGGAGAGTAGCAAGACGTGTGAATCGGACATTTGCTGAGAATGAATGCATTTAGATGTTCACCCCTTTAGAACCATCTTTCCTACCGTTTCAGTTCCTTTTCTTTCTCACCAAGATTTGTTTGTACCTCAAATATGTCCAGCAGTTAGCCCTGAAACAAAATCTGCATTTTCAGAGCAAATCTTGTCACTGATGGAGGCAAATATTATCTCTTGAGAATAGGTGCTTTATCTTCTAGCACCATCTTTCTGAGAGAGTAAGTTTGTATGTTAACTGATAACTTAGAGACATGAAAATTAACTTCCTTCCCTTGTATTTCTCTGTCTTCTCCCAAGAGAAATGAGTCTACCTCAGAGAGGAAGAGCCATCCTCGATCTTTGGCATCTTTTCTCTTGCTCTTCCCAAGTGCAACCCTATGTTCCTTCCTCTGGACCCACGAGGTTCTGACCTTAACCCTCCCATAACCTATCCAAGGCCAGTAGCTTCAAGGTCCAAATGAAGGTGCTCCAACCCCATGAAGCCCACCCTGCTCGCTGCAAGCCTGAGTGTTCATTGTACTTCCCACGCTGTTTACCTGGTGTATGTACTGCCTTGTTTGGACCCCTGTTTGATTTTCATATGACTCTTTATGCCTCTCCAGTAGAATTGTAAGTGCTTTTAGAACAGCAAACCCTGGTTATGCCTCCTTGATTTTCCTATGCTGCTTAGCATAGAGTGGATATTCAAGAAGTTTTAGTTGATAAAACTAAAACTACTCTACCCTTAGTATCTCTGAACAAGCCCTGGGAAATAGGTCTTTAGGATCTGTTTCTTGCTAGGTCATTCTTGGGTTAGGAGAGATTTTTTTTGATGTCAGATTGGGGGCAAATCTGGATGATTAGCTGCAGGGTAGAACCCTTTGGAATCAGCTGTATTTGAATCTATGGGGTGGGAAAAGGATATGGTTAATCACCTTTATATTGGCCCATCTGCCTCTTTGTAGCTGCCATCTACCTGTTTGTAACTAAGCCATAACGAAGTTAAAGCACTATCTCTTTGGGATGCCTGGGTGGCTCAGTCGGTTAAGTGTCTGCCTTCAGCTCAGGTCATGATCCCAGAGTCCTGGGATCGAGTCCCGCGTCAGGCTCCCTGCTCAGTGGGGGGCCTGCTTCTCCCTCTGCCTCTGTCTGCCGCTCTCTCGCTCTCTCTCTCTCTCTCTCTCTCTGACAAATAAATAAAATCTTTTAAAAAAAGGCACTACCTCTTTAAAGAGTCAACCTCAATCTAAAGAATATGCCTGGATCACAAGTTAGCATGTTGGAATGACACCTGCTGTTTTATCGTACGCAGCACGTTTTCTCACTTTCAGTGATAATACAGTCATAACTATGACTTAAAGTCTAGACAAGAGAAATAATTTGGGGGTTCTAATACATAGAAAAAGAGTAATGGACTTAATTGTTGAGGTTGTAGGACAGTACGTGCTCTCATTTGCTGTTATTGGGAGATTTATAAAGAAGTTCAACCTTTGTTTGGTGGGGAGAGGAATTTGGCACGACAGGTGCGCATTGTCTGGTACTACCCAAGCAACGCTGATTCTTCATCATGTTAGTCTTGAGACTAAATTTTCATATTAAAACATACACACACACTTTTTCTTCTGGAAAAGATACTAAAGCAAGCGTTGCACTTCAAAACACTCCCTCTGCTCAGTGTAGATAGCCGTGATAATGTATAAAAAGAGATTTAAAAAAATTCATACACGGACTCAAAAACAAGACAGCATTTCTGTGGAGCAGGAATGGACTACTGAGTGGGGCTGAGGCAGCTGCCGGGCTGTGAGCCAACAGCAGGAGGCAGCAGCCAGGGGCTCCGCTCTCCCCCGTCTCCCCCCAGCAAGGGGAGCTAAAAATGCATGCTACAAGATAAGAGACTGGAGCCTGGTCACTGTTTGAAGCCAAAGGCCCCCCCTCCCGAAAGGAAGCAGAGAAGAATGACAAGTAACTGGATGGTGGACTGGTGCTTCTGAGGAAACCGAGCCTCCCAACCAGGAGCGGAGCCAGCCTGCTTGCTGTTTCCCGACCGGATCTGTGAGACCCTGACATCGGAGCGGAACATCAGAATGCCATGATAAGAGCCAATGGTGGGTTGGGGGGCTGGGGGTTGGGTGCAGGAAACCACAGAAGAGCACACAAGAGATGGTCAGAGACAATCTCCATCTCAGAAACAGCCTCCCACTGAGGGCACAGGAAGAAAACTATGCTCAGAGAAGGCTCTCAGCAAAATTAGCTGTTGGACCATTGATTCACTTGAGACCAAACTCCATTTTGAACCAAATAATGAAGTTCAAATAAATACACTTGCAGTGGTCAAAAAGATAAAGATATAACATTAAAAAATGGGGAGTTGTGACAGAAGAGCAAATGGATATAAAACATTTAGAAAGTTTGGAAATAAAAAAGTCACTGAATTTAAAAATATGAAAAGTAAGACCATGAATTAGGTAAGAGTCCTGAGTTTCTCAGAACCCAGCACAGAGAGGCAGTGATTTAAAAGCACACACACCCGTGGGGGGATCACTGAGAGGCTCTAACATATGTCCAGTAGGAATGACAGGAAAAAAATGGAAGAAATGATGGAGCAAGTGTGGAAGCAATATTTAAAGAAATTTTGCTGAAGTCTTCCAAAATTGAAGAAAGTTGAGTCCTGAGCTACAGATACTGAGCAGGATTAATCCACATATATTCAAAATTAAAGTGAAATTGTAGAAGATCTGGGATTAAAGGCAAGATCTTAAAAGCCAGCGTAGAGGAAGATAGATTGCCCACTAGAGAACAAACTCGAAATGACAGCAGGCTTCCCAGCAGTGAAAATATAGGCCAGAAGATGATGGAATAGTATTCTAAAGTGCTGACGGGAAATTAATGTCAACAGAGAATTTTATAACTTTCTAAACTATTATTCAAGAATGAAAGCAGTAGAGACACGGTCAGGTACACAAGGTATATGAGCTTTCAGTCCACAGACCCTTATTAAAAGAATTATTAACGGATCTACTTAGAGAAGATGCAGGAACTAAGAGAACTGGTGAGTGTATGATTTCATAAACCTATAAATAAGCTCAACTAACTATAGGTAATTTTTTTAAAAAATGTGTGTTTCAGGAGAAAACTGAAACTAAGCCCAAGAACAACACAGTGGGGTAGTTCAGTGGGTAGTTCAAACATGCTTGGAGCAGGGTTGCAATACTGAAAACTTTAAATGTGTATGTTTTTAGGGGCGCCTGGGTAGCTCAGTCGGTTAAGCGTCTGCCTTCAGCTCAGGTCATGATCCCAGGGTCCTGGGATCCAGCCCCACTTCGGACTCCCTCCTCAGCAGGAAGCCTGCTTCTCCCTCTCCCACTCCCCCTGCTTGTGTTCCCTCTTTCCCTGTGTCTCTCTCTGTCAAATAAATAAAATCTTTAAAAAAAATAAATAAATGTGTATGTTTTTAGAAATTATAGGTAGCCTCTTTTGAGAAATACAGTCTACACCTTACTAACCAGGTGAAGCAGGATGGGAAATAGGAGGTGTGGAAAATGTGATCAGTGCAGCAGAAGGCAGGAAGAAGGAAGGAAAGGGATATATAAAAATAAAAAAATACAGAAATAAATCCAACTACCAGTAAATATCCAAATATGAGTGAGCAAAATAATGTAATGGGTTAAATTCACTGTAAAAAGAAAGAGGTGATTAGTTTGAATTTTTTTAAGATCCATAAAAGAGACACCTAAAAAATAAAACAAAATCACAGATGGGTGCAAAGTAGATGAAAGAACAATATTTTTTTTAAAAAAGCTGGTGGGGTACTGTCAATATTAGACAGCATTTAGCCCTGCCATCTTCAAGAATGCACTCTTTATCAAAACAAGATCTATATTTGAGTTTTAAAACATGCCTAAATCTTGTAACCACCACCATAAACAGGATACAGAAGAATCTCAATAGCCTAAGACATTCCCTGGTGGTGAACCTTTGCCGTGAACCTCTGGCGACTGCCCATCTGTTCTCTGTCCTGTTTTGTAGAATGCCGTATAAAATCAGACGGCGTGTCATTTTTTGACATTGACATTGGTTTCAGTGGAAAAATTACCTAAATGCATGTCATCACTGGAATGTTTTTAGTAAATGATAGCATATCCACACTATGAATTGTCTGGTCCTCAAAATGAAGTAGAGCCCTATGTGCCAATGTGTTAGGGTCTTCAGGACATACGATGAAAGGGAAAAGCTCAAGGTGCAGGAACGGTCCATATAGTGAGATCCCATGTGTTTAAATGTCATATATATGCAAATGCACAGATCAAGATCTGGAAGAGTATACACCAGACTTAGCAGGCTTACTGAAGAATGGCACAAAGGTAGGGAAGCAGGAAAGAAGGACTCGACCACCTGTGTTTAAAAAAAAAGAAAAGGTTTATGATAGCAAATAATAAAAGTATTTAGGCATAACATTAAGTGTCCAAAATCTATGTGAGGAGAGCTATAAAACACTCTTGATAGGCATAAAATTGGATGGAAACAAATGGAAACACACCATGGAGAGGAAGAATCAATGCCATAAAGATGTTAGTTCTTCTTAAACTAATTTATAAATGTAATTTAATTCCAATAAAAATGCCACCAAGGTGGTTTTTTTCTTTCCCTTCTGGATCTAGGCAGGTTGATTATAAAGTTCATTGTGAAAGATGAGCAGGGGTTTGAGCTGTTAATCACACTGATGACTGATCAGTTGTCTTTCTCCCGTGCTTGACCTTGAAGGGCTTATTGCTCTTGGTATCCCTAACACAGTATCTGACATACAGCAGATAGGCCCAAATGCTTGACTTCTCCTGAGGGCACACACAGAACCACTCCGCAATCCTGGTCTGCCCCTCCCATCAATGTCATTTCTATCTCCAGCTTTGTTATTTCAAGCAGCTTCTCTGAAGTGAAGTGGTTTGGTTTTATTCTGTTTTGTTTTAACCTCAGCTCTTTGGTGTCTCATTCATGCAAATGGGATACTGTTTCAACTTGTTACCACAGGTGGGTTCTGCTTTTCACAGCACTGGGTTTCTGGAAATTGTCTAAATTAAATAGATCTTATTTTTATATTATCATAGTGGATGTTATAATTCTAACAAAGTGCTGAGACTCAAATAACTATCATCAAAGCTATATCAGACAGTCTAAGATGTAGGCATGACCACTAATGATTTAAAATAGTGACAAGTATGATCCAAAGGCCCTAATTTTGCTCTGACAGTGCAAGGCATTTCAGTAGGTGATAAAGTATGCACATATTCCGCTTAAAAATGCATCTCTTTACTGGTATAAATTTGACAGTTATAATCTTAAATATTTGATTTCTTTTCTTAGATCTGAGCAGCATTTCAGGCCTGGTTTAGATGGGTTGTTTCCTTTTTTTTTTTTTTTAAGATTTTATTTATTTATTTGAGAGAGAGAGAGCATGAGCTGAGGGAGAGGCAGAAGCAGGTTCCCCGATGAGCAGGGAGCCCAATGAAGGAAGGACTCAATCCCAGGACCCTGGGATCGTGACCTGAGCCTGAACTAATGCTTAAGCGACTGAACCACCCAGGTGCCCTTTCCTTTTTTAAGGCAGCTTGAATTTTCACTTGGTCTCAAAAACACAGTGAGTCGATTCGGTGCTCTCTCTCTCTCTCTCTCTCTCTCTCACACACACACACACAAAACACAATGAGTCTCATTTTTCCCCCTAAAAGCAGCTGCTATGTTATCTCAAAATAATTTATAAATGAGAATTTATGAGTCCAAACTTTACTGAGCCCATTTCTGTAATCCCTGAAACCCTTGGGTTTCTTTTCCAGAAACATTACCTAGATATTATCACAGTGATGGAACAATTTTACATGTATATTTTTATCCCTCCGGGCCTTTCACTCTAAGGCCTTGAGGAGCATTTTATACATGTTGATCACCTAGACGTCAGCTGCTCCTTAGGATCTAGAGCATGATGGATCAAATTCCAGTCCATGGCCCCATGGCCCTCTCCAAGTTCTGCAGACTCCTGGAACGATTTGCTTCCCATGGTCCTCATTCCTGCTTCCATGGAAACAGATTATAGATTTTTACCATCTCAGGCAAATTCTCCCTGTCTGTACAGATTTGATTGAAGCATGAAAGTTTGTTCCTTTTGTTGTGATTTTTATAAAATTGACTCACAAAAGCTGTGTGTGTGTGTGTGTGTGTCTGTCTGTCTGTCAGTATGTCTGTGCATGTGTCTGTGTCTGTATAGCAGATTTTTACCAAAGCTTCAGGCAAGACTGCAAGGTATTGATATCTCAAAATAGAAATAATGAATGTATCCTCCAGCCGCCCACCATGTTGCCTGACCTATTTTCTTTGATTTGAGCCCCTCTCTGCTCTGCTGACTCACCTCCTCCCACCTCCAAGCCTGTACATCCCAGTATAGAATAGGGTTGGCCATCTTTGTTGCCATGGCTTCATCCGACCTTTGCTCTCAGTGACTCACCTTATTCTGTATCCTTCCCCTCCTACTTCCCAAACCAGTTCAGATATTTTCCTTAACACAGTTGATTTTTATTCAAGAATTATTCTCATATCTGACTTTAGGATAGTAACTTCCTCACCTTGCTGTATTTTGGATTGGATTCTCTGGTTTATCCTGCTTTTTTTTCATTTTTTTTTCTCCCCCCCTACCTCATCTCCCTCCCCCTCCAGTCTCCCTTCACAAACACACGTTGTAGCTCCTGGTCTCAAGCCCTTTTCCTCCAAAGGCATTCTGAAGGTTGCCTCTGGATGAAAATGGTGGAATTTTGCTGCATTGTGATGCATGTGTATGAGCTGGGGGTGAGCAAGGTGGCGGGGGGGGGGGGGGGGGGGTTGTCCCTGCTCACCTCCCAGCCACTCTGCTCCAGCAGTCTGCAACCCTGAGGCTCCTTTGAAATTGGTGTTGCAGCCTTTCTGTAAGGCTTGTTTGGGGCTCTAACCTTTAAATGAATAAAAGTAAAGAGAAGTGAGGTATATCGGTTTAATTAACAAATTTCTCCAAAAAGCGGGAAAGAGGAAGCAAAGAATTTCAAGTTCTTACAAGCTGCTGCTGTTTTTTTACAAAGATACCACAAAGCACCCTGTGCCGTTTGTTGTCGTGGTTGCCACTGCTGTTTTAGGAAAGCCTGGCCACCTTACTTTTGGCAACCGTACCTTCGAAAATGCACGTCCTTCTCCCAGTTCTTCTCAGTGCTGTCACGTTCAGAAATACTGTGTCTCTTTAACATGGAGGGGGCAACTTCCTTCCTCTGTCCTGTGGCCATTTTATTGTTTAAATGCTCACTCTCCTGCTGCTGGACTCCCTGAAGCTGTCCTGTTCCTTCTCACAGTCCTGGATTAGGCAACCAGCCATCACGTTTGGGGGGAATTCTACTCTGAGCTGCGTCTCTGCTGGAGTCTTCTTAGGGAATGTTCTCTCAGCCGCTGGGGCAACTATCATCCTTAGCAACTGAGTTTCAGTATTTTTTCGACTCTGTGCTCACTTCTGAATAGTTAACAGCTGCTGGAAAGTAGCTCACCGTCCTTCCCCTCCTGGGATTTAAGTAGGCACATTTTTAAAAATTCTGTCTTCATGAAAATTGAAAGAGAAATAGCCGGCATCAGAAGACTAAAAGGAACTTGGGGAGGTGAGCTCTGTCTCCCTCCCCTACGCTGGGCTGTTCTCTGGAAAGCCCTCCTAGCAGAAGTTTGGTGAGGTGAGAAGACATGTGGAGGGGTAGAAGAACACTAGGCTGTAAACAGGACACAGGTTTAAGTTCCTGCTGTGTGAACTTGGACAAGTTACTGACATTCTCTGAACCTTAGTTGGTTTTTTCTTCTGTAGAATGGGGAGAATATGACCTGCTTCCCTAGCATGGCAGATGCTAGCCAATTAGGTACCTTTGTGCAGAATATAAAAAGTATCCCCACCTTGTGACCATAGATAGCCCCAAGAGGATGGGGCTTCCATCCCACCAAGGAGAGCACAGCAGGATTTCAGCCCACCCTTGTTTGCCCCATTTGCTTGGCACCCTTGTGCAATGGATATACTGAAACCTTATGCAAGCAAGTTCCATAGGTCTATCATCTTCCACCATTAGGAACAAGCCTGGGGAAGTACTAGGCAGGGGGCCAGGAATGGGGTCTGCCTGGTCGCTTGGCAGGGAGTTAGCACTTTAAGAAGGTGCCTGCCTTTTTACCTTCTAACTGATCTTGCTTTCACAAACCAAGTCTTCTGTGTTTTCTTTTCTTTTCTCTTTTTTTTTTTATAGATTTTTATTATTTGACAAGAGAGACACAGCGAGAGAGGGAACACAAGCGGGGAGTGGGAGAGGGAGAAGCAGGCTTCCCGCTGAGCAGGGAGCCCGATGCGGGGCTCGATCCCAGGACCCTGGGATCATGACCCAAGCCGAAGGCAGATGCTTAACGACTGAGCCACCCAGGTGCCCCTTCCGTGTTTTCATCACAACACTAACAATGCCATATTAACACTCAAGCTCGAAGGTGTCACTCTTGGGGAAGGTGCTCAGGGAAGCACTCCCTTTCCCTGCTCATCTCTCGCCTCTACCTTCTGCTTACTACACAGACTGTTGGAGCATTAAATGAGACTATGAGTGGGAGCACATCCAGAACATGACTCCAAACACTAACGTGCTTATTTGTCTCTCTTCTGTATTCCTTAAGGGTAGTCTGGCATTTGTCTAGACTTCCTCCTGCTATTTTCTATTCCAGGGGTTTCAAGGTAGAGTGCTTGACTCCCCAGAAATGCAAAGGGTGCTGCATTGAGATGTGAGATAAAAATGAAAACTTTTATTTAGACAGGCACACCTCACTTTATTGCACTTTGCAGATACTGTGTTTTTCACAAATGGAAGATTTGTGGCAACCCTGGGTCGAGCAGGTCTATTGACGCCATTTTTCCAACAGCATTCACTTGCTTCCTGTCTCAGTGTCACATTTTGGTAATTCTTGCAATGTTTCAAATTTCTTCATTATTATTATAGTTGCTCTGGTAATCTGTGACCAGTGATTATGACTTGCTGAAAGCTCAGATGATGGTGGACATTTTTTTGACATGACACTTTACCATAGTATAGTGTAAACGTAACTTTTCTATGCACTGGAAAACCAAAAAATTCATTTGACTCGCTGTGTTGCAATATTTGCTTTATTGTGGTAGTTCAGAACCGAACCTGCACTATCTTCAAGGTATGCCTGCATTTATTTTAAGCTTCAAGGGAAAGGAATTAAGCTTTCCTAATATTTCACATATGGATTGACAGGACTTTATGGATGTAATTATGAATAGACATACATATACTGAGTGGGCACGCTCAACATTTCTTCTCTGACATAGGTAAGTGATAAAAACGCTTGAAGGCCACTGCTCAGTTCTCACACCTCTGTAGCCACCGAGTTCTAGAAATGCAGTCATGTGTGTGATTTCTTCCTTGCTTCTCCTGATTGACACAGTAAATAATTGCTCCCTGCTTTATCTTCCAGGACAGAGCTTTTATAACTCTTGTAGTGAGACTTCTTCTCTTCCCCTTAACCTCATTCTTTTCATTGTTATCTGCATAGGGTATTGAAGAGGTAAGCTCTTTTCCTGGAACATAATTTGCATAAGGTAATTTGTTATGATAAAGTCAGATTGGCATCTTTTTGGTTTAATTCTAGAAATTCAGTAAAATAAAGTAAGAATGTGGGCTCTGGGTCCAGGTGGCCTGAGCAGGATGACAGTAGCAAGTAACTTAACCTTTCTGTGCCTTGGTCTCCTCATCTGTGAAATGGGAATAATAAGAGTACCTGCCTCATCGGATTCCGGTGACAATTAATGAATACCCATGACATTTTTAGAATAGGCTCAGTTGCATATTAAACACAGCAGAAGTTTTCTGCCATCAGCACTTTAGTCACCATCCTTACCTTCTTCCCTAGAAGAGCAAGGGGCCACACGCAGACGTACGCAACTCTGAACCGGAAATACTCATGTCAGTTCAGGATTCATCCACTTTCTCAGCAGATACATGCGGGTGGTGTCCTTTGTATTGGGCACTCTGCTAAGTGTTGGGCGCTCCACTCCATTGTCAGACCTTGTACGTCTGTCTGGTGGGCGGTGTCCCCCATGTCACCAACTTGTGGTCACATTGCCATGCCATAGCAGCCCACTTCACAGTGAATTCAGCTTCTGCTTCAATAACTGCTATAAAGGGCTTTACTGTTTGTTACCGAAATCACTAAATGTTTTACTATTGCAGAATCACTGAAAGCTATGGATTTCCAGCCATTTGACATTTTAATTTTTTTTATTTTTTACAGATCTTATTTATTTATTTGAGAGAGAATGAGATAGAGAGAGAGCATGAGAGGGGGGAGGGTCAGAGGGAGAAGCAGACTCCCCACTGAGCAAGGAGCCCGATGCGGGACTCGATCCCGGGACTCCAGGATCATGATCTGAGCTGAAGGCAGTCGCTTAACCAACTGAGCCACCCAGGCGCCCCATTTGACATTTTTAAATAGATTTTCCCTGCATTATTAATTCCACATGTTATCGCTGTCAATTCCTTGGTGGTTATTCTCCATCTGAACTGTTTGCTTATTGTTCCTGTGGACAGTCCCTCCAGGTTGATTCAAAGAGTATTTGGCCTCATACTCCATCATCTGCAAAAAGGATGCCCTCTTTCTTACCCAAATTGCAATATTAGGAGACTACTGGACGTTCTTAGGGCTTACTATTTTTTTTTTCTGACAAATTGCAGTATTGGTAGAGGGATAAAAGTTTTCAATGTAATGTTTTTTGTGAAAAGCCAGCAAGTTGAAACCTAATTATTTTACTATGGAGCACTTCTGTATTCTTTCCTATCTCTCTGTGGAGAGATGAAATGGTTTTTCTAAAAGCGTAGTGAATTCACATTTTATGAAGGTCATTTGCATTCATCTATGCATGCAGTCCAGGATATGGGTAGAAAGGAAGGGGTAAATGATAAAGACAGGAATTTCTTCCACATTTCCTCCTGCCAATCCTGTTAATTCTCATACACAAGCCCATCTAATCTGGGGAGCCATCCAGTTCAGGATTGAGTCTGATAAAGGGATGTACTTCCCAGACCAATGACTGATTCTCCCGGGCTTCAGGGAGAGAAGAAATGCAAAATTTTAAAACACGTGAATGTTCTTTAAATACTTATTTTGTTGTGAGTTCTTCTGGGGCCTAAGAAAACCACTGTGTTGGGCGCCTGGGTGGCTCAGTTGGTTAAGCGACTGCCTTCGGCTCAGGTCATGATCCTGGAGTCCCAGGATCGAGTCCCACATCGGGCTCCCTGCTTGGCAGGGAGTCTGCCTCTCCCTCTGACCCTCCCCCCTCTCATGCTCTCTCTCTCATTCTCTCTCTCAAATAAATAATAGGAAATCTTAAAAAAAAAAAAAAAAGAAAGAAAACTGCTGTGTTTTATGTCATAACTCACACATGAAGAGCAAAGTCAAGTATTTCATTTTCCCAGCACATGGGCCGGGAATGAAATCCTGGTGCTGGAATCAAGCATTGTATTCTCCAGGCAAAGGAAATGGACATTTATTGGATGTTATTGCTGCTTGCTTCACGCTAATGACATTATCAGAGCTCTTTGAATAATACAATTTGAAAACATTACTTCTGTGTTTCAGGTCATGCAAGACAAGATCATCTGCCTTCCAAAAAGGGTCCAGCCTTCTCAGAATCATTCTTCCGTGTCCAATGTCTCTCAAGCAGTTGCCAGCACCACCCCGCTGCCTCCCCCTAAACCGTCTCCTACCAACCCTGCCACCGTGGAAATGAAAGGGCTAAAGACAGATTTGGACCTCCAGCAGTACAGTTTTATAAACCAGATGTGTTACGAGCGAGCCCTCCACTGGTATGCCAAGTATTTCCCTTACCTGGTCCTCATCCATACCCTGGTCTTCATGCTCTGCAGCAACTTTTGGTTCAAGTTCCCCGGTTCCAGCTCCAAAATAGAACACTTCATCTCGATCCTGGGGAAGTGTTTTGACTCTCCTTGGACCACACGGGCTTTATCGGAAGTGTCTGGGGAGGATTCAGAGGAAAAGGACAACAGGAAGAACAACATGAGTAGGTCCAACACCATCCAGTCCGGTCCAGAAGGCAGCCTGGTCAACTCTCAGTCATTAAAGTCCATTCCTGAGAAGTTCGTGGTTGACAAATCCACTGCAGGAGCTTTGGATAAGAAGGAAGGTGAGCAAGCAAAGGCCTTATTTGAGAAGGTGAAGAAGTTCAGGCTGCACGTCGAAGAAGGTGATATACTCTATGCTATGTACGTCCGCCAGACTGTGCTTAAAGTTATAAAATTCCTAATCATCATTGGGTATAATAGCGCCCTGGTTTCCAAAGTTCAGTTTACCGTGGACTGTAACGTTGACATTCAGGACATGACTGGATATAAAAACTTTTCTTGTAATCACACCATGGCACACTTGTTCTCAAAACTGTCCTTTTGCTACCTGTGTTTTGTAAGCATCTACGGGTTGACGTGCCTTTACACCTTATACTGGCTGTTCTACCGTTCTCTACGGGAATATTCTTTTGAGTATGTCAGGCAGGAGACTGGAATTGACGATATTCCAGATGTGAAAAATGACTTTGCCTTTATGCTTCATATGATAGATCAGTATGACCCACTGTATTCCAAGAGATTTGCGGTGTTCCTATCTGAAGTGAGTGAGAACAAATTAAAGCAGCTGAACTTAAATAACGAGTGGACTCCCGATAAACTGAGGCAGAAGCTACAGACAAATGCCCATAACCGGTTGGAATTGCCTCTTATTATGCTCTCTGGCCTTCCAGACACAGTCTTTGAGATCACAGAGTTGCAGTCTCTAAAACTTGAAATCATCAAGAACGTGATGATCCCAGCCACCATCGCGCAGCTAGACAATCTCCAAGAGCTCTCGCTACACCAGTGCTCAGTCAAAATCCATAGTCCGGCACTCTCTTTCCTGAAGGAAAACCTCAAGGTCTTGAGCGTCAAGTTTGATGACATGAGGGAGCTACCCCCCTGGATGTATGGGCTCCGGAATCTGGAAGAGCTCTACCTGGTCGGCTCTCTAAGTCATGATATTTCCAAAAATGTCACCCTTGAGTCTCTGCGGGATCTCAAAAGCCTTAAAATTCTCTCCATCAAAAGCAACGTTTCCAAAATCCCTCAGGCAGTGGTGGACGTTTCCAGCCATCTCCAGAAGATGTGCATCCATAACGACGGCACCAAGCTGGTGATGCTCAACAACTTAAAGAAGATGACCAATCTGACAGAGCTGGAGCTGGTCCACTGCGACCTGGAGCGCATTCCCCATGCCGTGTTTAGTCTGCTCAGCCTCCAGGAATTGGACCTCAAAGAGAATAATCTGAAATCTATAGAGGAAATCGTTAGCTTCCAGCACTTGAGAAAGTTGACAGTGCTGAAACTGTGGCATAACAGCATCACCTACATCCCAGAGCATATCAAGAAACTCACCAGCCTGGAGCGCCTGGCCTTCAGTCACAACAAAATAGAGGTGCTGCCTTCCCACCTCTTCCTATGCAACAAAATCCGATACTTGGACCTGTCCTACAATGACATTCGGTTCATCCCACCCGAAATCGGAGTTCTACAGAGTTTACAGTATTTTTCCATCACTTGTAACAAAGTGGAGAGCCTTCCAGACGAACTCTACTTCTGCAAGAAACTTAAAACTCTGAAGATTGGGAAAAACAGCCTCTCCGTACTTTCACCGAAAATTGGAAATTTATTATTTCTTTCCTACTTAGACGTTAAAGGCAATCACTTTGAAATCCTCCCTCCCGAACTGGGTGACTGTCGGGCCCTGAAGCGAGCCGGGTTGGTTGTGGAAGATGCTCTGTTTGAAACTCTGCCTTCTGATGTCCGGGAACAAATGAAAGCAGAATAACTTATTTTCTTTAAAGCTTGACTGAAACGTGCTTCTACCAAATACAGTATAAATAATTAGGTAGTCTTAATGCCTTTCCTATTTTATTTTTATTTTTTTTTCTTTTTCACACAAAACAAAATGTACACAAAGATTGAGTAAGGAGTATGTATTTTTTAATAAAAATTTAATTGTATTTTTTCAATATTAATATTTTAAAGTTTTATTTGTCCTGGAACCTAAATGTATCTATTATTGTTTTCTACTGACAGAAACAGATGGTTCCGTCTGGGTTTTTTTGTTTTTGGTTTTTTGGTTTTTTTTCATTTCATTCTTGTGAAAGGGAGGGAATTTTAAGTTGCATGCTTTTTGGTATTTTTTAAATAGATATTTTGCCAAGGTCATTTTTTGCTTGTTTACACCTGTCCAGGGTCCTTTTGTTTTCATTGTGTATGTACCAAGGAGTCCGTGCTAGTCATTGTAATACCAGCTGCCTTCTGCTTTGGCCAAGTCCTTCATCCTATAGAAAACTCTTCTCTGGAGTGTAAATTCACGTAAGTGCATTGCCACAGGCCATTGTTTTCAAAATTTCTCCTCATCTCCAACAGAACCCTAACTTGTGTTATTTCATATACCTGACTCACAGTCAACGTGATCATTAGGCTAGGATTTTGTACTGAATGGGTCATTTATCATCTACCTGATTTGCGTTCTTACCAACATTTCAAAAATATCATTTAAAAACAAAATACAGAGGCTCTCCTCCCCCTGCCCTTCATCTTAATATTGCTATGTAATACTGCTGAACAACCTTAGAGAAGCTAGATTTATTTTAATTAAAATAGGTAATTAAATTTAAAAATCAGAATCAGAAGCCTGGCTTTTAAGTAATGTAATAACCTTTGATATCTTGATATGGGTGTACATCAGATGGAAAAAATATTCCCGGCTGAAGCGGTCTGTGAAAGGGCTGGTGCACTGTAGTCAGGTGCACTGGTTGCTTCAGGTGGGGGGTGGGGAGGGGGCATCTCCTCACATTCAGCCTGGTACGCAGAATAACCCTCATCTCCATAAGTGGAGCTCCCGTAATCCTGCCCTTGCTGCGGATGCAAGGGAGGCGAGCACAGGAACTCTTTCTGCTTTTTGGCTTAAAATAAGCATCTCATCTAAAATGGTTGTTACTTTTTTCTTTTTAAAGGGGTGAATAAATTGCTAAGTGGATGTCACTTAGAAATAATTTGTACTTGATGGTTAGCAGAGCTTTTATTTACGTTTGTATTTAAACCAACATAGTATAGCATCTTGGGCAAAATCTGTTACTGATTCTTCAGCTGTGTAGGACAGGAAAATGAAAACACTGTGCCCTCAATCCAGGACCAGTACTGCTGATCGTGGGAATTTTGTTTTATATAGTAAATTCACACTGACTGTCTTCAGAGCTCTAGTCTGATCTAAGAGAGTTTTGTGACTCAACAATGAAAGAAAATAGGAAGATGATTTGGGGTTTCAAAATAATTGCTTTTAAATTTTGCGCCTTGATCCTGGGGATTTTGTGCAGTGCTGCTTTGAGTCATGTACAGAACACAGCTATAGGAACTACTCAGCAGACACACGTACCTCAATCGTGTTTGAGATGCTATGAGATGTCATGGAGTGAAGGATTTGGGAAAGAGATGCTTTTCATTTGTTTAATAATGAAATCATGCAGTCCGGGATGCTTTATTGTTTCTGCTCTATGTCCAAGTGTTAGAATGGTGATTTTGTGTAACTTATTTCCCACCTAGAAATGAAATGATATGTTTAAAATAGTAACATGGCTATATTTCTTGTAGGAGAGAATATTCGATTCCAGAATATAGTTAGGATCCTGATTATGAACAATGTGTTGTATTTAGAAACAGAGCCCTCTTTGTTTTAAGCAAACAAACAAAAGACTTGGAAGATTCTCCATGACTGAGCATGACAAAAATACCCTGTTGAAAGGTAAGCTTAAATAACTACTGGTGAAGCACTGGGTACACTATTTTTCTGGATAAAATTTATAGTTATTTTCTATATCACCCTTCAAAAGGGATCTATTCAGGTTAAAAATCATATTTATGCTGAAGTCTTTATCTGGTGTTAATTCATAATCTCACATGGGGTTCATAACTGAAGTAAGTGACTAGTAAGTAGTTTTATCACTTGTAATAATTTGCTCCCAATTCCAAATGACTCTGATTTGCTTGCTTAATGATTTCACAGGCTAGCCCCTAAACCAAATTCTAAGTAACATCCAGTAAATCAGTATTGTTCTATGACTTTATGCTTTAACTATGAAGGAAATATGAAGGAAAATTCATGGATGTTTCTATTAGACTTTATAAAAATTCCAAAGTCTCAAACTTCATCTTGAGTCTCAATTTTCTGACTCTGGCCCTTTTTAATATTGTTAAGTTTTTGTTCGCATGTATAAGCAAAAAGTATTTAATTACATTTAGCCTTTAAATGGGAAACTCAGGTAAATGAACTGCTGACTTTTCTAAAGTCCTTTAATGGATCAACTCCGTGTAAAAGGGGTATTTACCTAATCCCTTTCTGTATTTTACAAGTGCTCTTGCTCAAAAGGAACAACTAGCTCTATTTCTGCAACCTCTGTAAGATTCATGAGAAACTGCTTCTGTAAATCTAAAAGCACCGTACGTATTCATAACTCCTGTGGCCACTTGAAGCCCATAATGGGTACGCTTGCTGGTCGGTTGTCATGGTTAAGCGTAGAGCAGATAATTGCGTGGTGATGATCTGGTTGAAGCAAAGCATAGAAGTATATCCCAGTGGAACTCCCCTAAGAAGACCACACCTCAGAAAACTAGTTATGCGTTAGGTTTTTGTTTTGTTTTGTTTTGTTCTTAACACAGCACTTTTAACATAAATGTTCTTGGTACAGTGAAACAATTGTAGATTTTTCTTGTTCACCCGCCTTTTCCCTGCATTTCCCATGTAGCTGCTGTAAAGAGTTCCAACAATTTACATGGCATCCTGTTCAGCAGGAAGGCTCGGAAGGTATGCTTGGTAGGAGTATTTTGTTCATCCAGAGGTGCCTCTTTATCTGCCTCTCAAGCCATCTTCTTAGAGAGGGTTTTAAACAACCTGCTATCTTTCTCAGGCTACTTGGGATGAGGAAGGTCCAAGTTCTTTCAGTATGCTGTCTTATGATTTCTGATATTAAGAAAAAAGAAGACAGATTCTTTATATCTCTTCTTACTCCTTCCCCCAAGAGGAGTTTTGCTGTTGTTTATTTTTCTAATTCTATCGTTTCAAAAAAAGTCCATTTTTAAGTAGTTTATTCTACTCTCCAATTTCCTACCAAATAGCTAATCAATAGTAATGCTGTATTTACATAGTGAACATTCGTGATCCATCTCTATGAAAATGGTCAGCAGTACTTAGTAGTGAATAGATAAGATAAATTTTCATGTAATTTCAATGTGTGTCCCCCCATTAATTCTGATGTGATGCTAGTCAAGCAGTTACATTTTTGGTAGGATCTCAATAACTCACAGTAGGGTCCCATAGTAACCTTAAGTTAGTAAAACAAGTGAACAAAACAGCACAGTTATGAGTGAGGGGAATGCCTCAAGAGTCTGTAAGAGATTCTCATCTTTTCTTGTCAATTCAGACACATTGTAAGAAAACTTAGGCAGTCTCAAACAGACCTGCCACTCATTTTTTAGATTTAGGCCTCAGTGACATGCTTCTAATACAGTTTCATCCCAGCCTTTCAAACGAGGTGTCCCCTGTTACTGCATCTTCCCAGAGCCAGGCACTGACAAAGGTAACATTCTGAAGTTCACTCTGGAGAGAGGGAAGAGTGTCCTCCCCACCAAGGAACTTTTTTTAATCAGAAGACCTTGAAAAGGGGTACTTTGAACAACTTAACTTGTTGACCATGTTAAGTAACAGTTCCTATGCATGGTTTTTAATGTAGTTATAAATTTGCTCTCTGCTGAATACTATTCCCTCTCCCACCTGATTCTGCCTCTTGAATGAATATTTTTACTGGGGTTGAAACCCAATGCCTTATGTGCTCCCTCAGTTGTTTTTCCTGCCACTTGTTTTCTCTCACTGTGTTCAGATTGTGTCAAATGCTGGTAAAACCTCTAAGACTGTCAAGAAAATGCTTGAAAGTTGATTTGTCATAGTGCAAATTCCCATTGAAATGTCTTCATGTTATTTGGCTATGTAGTACATAGGACCAGAAAATAACTTAAATAAAGTCATTTTTGTAATTTAAAATTGAGATTCGTCCCTTATTGGATTATAGAAGTCATGTTTATCTTTTGCATTTCTCCTGGTTTTTGCATCTGCCGTTGCAAGGACTCTGTGCTCCGCAGGAAATGGGCCGCATGCCTTCTTTCACTTCGTGTTTAGCTAGTTTCTGCAATTGTGACTGATGATTTCCTTCCTTAATTCACCATGCTGCTGCGTCTACCTCAGGTGCCCCTGGAGTTCCGTCTGAGTAATTAGCACCTGGATACGGAGTCTGGCTTGCAATGGCTGAGCCTTTGCCAGATCCGACTGTGTGATTGCTGTCCAGCGCAGCTTTTCACCCAACACTGTTACCGTAATGGCTATGGTTCCTTGAAGGAATCAGAATGGTTCTGCTCAGCTAGGAAGCCTCCCCTCCTTAACCACCCACACTCCGGGCTTATGGAAGCCCTTTTACGGAAAATCTTCTATACCACTTAGGCATAAGAAAATTGTGATTGGTAACTTGTGAAGCTAAATTGTCACCGTATTTTTCTGTAGTCATTTGTGACTCCATCATTTTACTGATAATCAACTGATAGCCCTTGGGAGAAAGTCTATTGAGACAAGGAAGGGTTCTGAGAGTGGCAAGAGGCCCCATGAATGTGTGCGTTCTCACAGGGGGACGCCTGGGTGGCTCAGTCGGTTAAGCGGCTGCCTTTGGCTCAGGTCATGATCCCAGGGTCCTGGGATCGAGCCCCACGTCGGGCTTCCTGCTCAGCAGGAAGCCTGCATCTCCCTCTCCTTCTGCCTGCCGCTCCCCCTCCTTATGCTCTCTCTGACAAATAAAATCTTTTAAAAAAATAATAAAAAACTCACAGGATTGTGGGGCAGCTTGAGGAATTTTGGAGCCATGAGCTGAGAAATGCAATAGAATGGAGACAGCTGGTGATTCAGTGCAAGTGCCATACAGAGAAGACTGTCCACTGGTACCTTCCAATGTCCCATCGTCCAGTCCTTTCATTTATACACAATATTGAGATAAACACTGACGTGGAATAAATTGAGTCAGTTGTTCAGGCTAGCAAGATACAAGCATCTCCGTTTGGGTGCAGAAGTACATAAGAGGGAAGTCACTAAAGACAATTTTAGACTCAGTGGGGGTACTCACATGGCCCCAGGCCTGCCTAAGTTTGAATGTTATCCTCAGTATCCAAGTAGGAAAAAAGTGAGAGGCTGTACTACTTTTGTGTGTAAATCTTTGAATACAGTAGATTTTGTATTTGAACAAAGCAAGGTGCAAACATTTTTATTATCAGGCATACCATAGATGAGTGTTTTCCGAGTTTAAATATTTTACATAAAAGACACAGCATTAGACAAGGTGTTATTACCAAACATAAACCAAACTGGCCATTGTGATTATCTTGATTCAGGGAATCTTGTTAGAAAGTTTGCAAACAAGTAGAAAATGGGCTTTATTTTTTTAATCTTTCAAGGAATTTATTTCAACTCAAGTTACATCTAGACATCACCGTTTAAAAAAGTGTTTATTCAATTCTTAGTAATAGTTTCAGGTAATATAGCTCTTGGGAATCGTGACACAAAAGAGGCAGCATGTAACTCTTGTGTTTTATATCTCCTTTAGAGTCTAAGAAAAAAATAATAGACTTCCAACAGTGATTTTAATATAAAAATTATAATAGTTCTTCAGTCCTAATTGTAATGGTTCTGGGGATTCCTTTATGATTTCATATAGTCTTTGTGGAGTAATTTTGTTAAAATCATACTCTAACATTTGGACAGCCTAACTCTATTAACTGATAGCCTTGGGGCTCTGAGGGCCATCATCCCTGTCCAAACTGGTTCTGGTATTGATTATTTTCCTACAGCTGCCATCACAAACTACCACATGCAGGGTGGCTTCCACAAACAAATTTATTGTCTCAGTGCTAGCTCAAGGTGTCAGTAGAGTTGGTGGTATCCAAGGGCTGTAAGAGAAGATCTGCTCTCCGCCTCTCTTCTGTCTTTCGGTGGTTTGTCAGCCATCTCTGGGAATCCTTGACTTACAGATGCATCATCACTCAATCTCTGCTTTCATTTTCATTTGGCATCCTCCCTGTGTGTCTACCTCTGTGTTCAAACTCTCCCCCGCTTTTAAAGATTTTATTTATTTATTTATTTGAGAGAGAGAGCGAGCATGAGAGGGGGGAGGGGCAGAGGGAGATGGGCAAGCAGACTCCCCGCTGAGCAGGGAGCCTCACACAGGGCTCAAGCTCAGGACCCCGAAATCATGACTTGAGCCAAAGGCACTTAACCGACCGAGCCACCCAGGTGCCCTGAAATGTTCCCTTTTTAAAAGAACTCCGTCATATTAGATCAGGGCCCACCCTAATAATTTCATCTTAATTTGATAATCTGCAGAGACCCTATTTTCAAATAAGACCACATTCACAGGTACTGGGGTTTAGAACTTCATCATTTTGAGGGTGTTGGAGAGCAAAAATTCGTATCCTCTTCAAGGTCCCTCTAGCTGGACTAAGAATCAAATTGATATGAGAGAGATTAACAGGAGAAATTCAATTTTAATAGCATACCTATGGGGAATCCACACAGACTGGAAGTTCTAAAAACAGGAAAAATGAGATCTATATGTCATCCTCAGCTAAGGAGAAGGGGGTAGAGGTCTGGGACTTCGAAGGGAAGGAATGCAACTCACAAGGTAATAAGAAGAGCAGACATTTGGTAATTAGATA